ATTGATTTTAGGAGTAGGAGGGCACCAAATTTCTTTGACTGGGAAAGGAAGAGAAGATTGTGTGGCAACCAACGAACGAAAAAGGGATTTACAAGAAAACGTCCCATCAGAATTAGGACCCTAAATTCTAGAATCTGACGCACCTTCCCCCAAGAATACTGAATTCAGCATACCTAACAGCTCGGACACTGCAAGAAGTTCAGACTCTCTAAGGTTCCTGTTAAATCCAAAGTTCCAATTCAACCCTGGGAGGTGAGCTGGTTGACTTAGGAAATCTGAAATTGGCCTACCCTTAAACCTGGACAGATCACAAAGAGAAGGAAATTTCTCACCCAAAGGAGTATCCCCAATCCACACATCCTCTCAAAATCTGATTTTACTACCAGAAGGCAAATCATACCTGATATGATTTAGGAATGTAGGGAGAAAACCATGGATGGCCTTCTAGGGAGAAGCCAAGGTAGCCCTGCGGAGACATCCAGCATCCCATCCGTTACTCGACATGCCATGAATGCTTGCAACCACTTTGTGCCATAATTTCTCGTTTTCATTTGGAAACCTCCAAAGCCATTTACAAAGCAAAGCCTGGTTCTTCAATCCAACGTTACGTAATTCCAACCCCCCTTCCACCTTCAACTTCCTCACCGTTCCCCATCTAAACAAATGATCCTTCTTTTTTCCCCTTGCTCCCTCAGAAAATCTCTCATGATTTTTTCAATTTTCCTCACTATCCCTTGTGGCATCCTAAACACTAGCATATTGTACACTAGAAGATTTGCTAAAGTAGACTTAATTAAAGTTATTCTCCCCCCAGTGAGATATAGTTCCTTTTCCATGCCGCTAAGCGTTTCTCGAATCTTTCCACCATCGGAGTCCAAAAACTAGCAGATCTAGGGTTGTTTCCAAGGGGTAACCCCAAGTATTTCATTGGCCACTCTCCTTTCTCACAGCCTAGGGTATTTTCTAAAGATCTCACTTCATCCTCTTCAATGTTGGTTCCAACCAATAAGCTCTTTGACCAATTAATCCCCAAATTAGACAACCTCTCAAAAAGTTTCACAACCAACCTCAGATACTCCCTCCCTACTTTCTCCATCACAAAAAATAAGAATATCATCTACAAATTGTAAGTGAGTGACCAAAACATTATCCCTCCCAACTGGCCAACCTCTGAATAGTTGCACACTATTTGCTCTTGAAATCAATTTGCTTAAGGCTTCAGCAATCAAAGTAAATAGAAAGGGAGAAAGGGGGTCACCCTACCTGAGCCCATAGAAACCTTAAAAAAAGTCATACACTGTCCCGTTAAATATTATTGAGTAGTGATTAGTTTGTAAGCATCCCTTGATCCATTTACACCACAAATTTCCAAAGCCACACCTCATAATATCAAGTAAAAAGTTCCAATCCACTGAATCATAGGCTTTTTCCACATCCAGTTTGATAGCCACTCCTTTCCTCTTTAATCTCTTTTGAGCCTCCACACATTCATTGGCAATTAATATTTGATCAATAATCTATCTATCCTGCACAAAGGCCCCTTGTTCTTGAGAAACAAGTGGAGGGATCACCTTCTTAATCCTCAAGGATAATACCTTTGCTATCACTTTGTAAATACTAGTGACTAGACATATTGGCCTGAAATCCCCTGGATGGTTGGCATTGTTCTTCTTTGGGATCAGTGCTAAAAAAAGTAGAGTTCATTCCCGGACTTATCACCCCTCTTCTATAGAATTCATTGAACACTCTGATCAGATCTCCTTTAATTATGTCTCAACAATCTTGATAGAAAGCCATTGTGAAACCATCAGGTCCAGGTGATTTTGATCTATTCATAGAAAAGACTGCTTCCTTAATCTCTTCCTCTTCAAACCTTTTTTCCAGAAATTGGACCTGAATCTCCCCCAATGTCTCCCAATCAATACCTTCAATCCTCCACCTCTCAATTAGGGGTCTTCTATAAATTGACCAAAAAGCTCTGAGAATGCATTAGCAATCTCAACTTGGTCCATGATCTCACTTTCCCCCACCACTAGAGAGGTAATCAAGCACTTCCTTCTCCTTCCATTTGCAATGGCATGGAAAAAATTTGTATTTCCATCACCTTCTTGGATCCATCTCTCTCTTGACTTTTGTTTCCAACATATTTCCTCTCTCAGTAATGTCTCCCCTTCTTGGAGTCTGTTGGTTCTTTCTCTCTTGTTTGAGTTGTGGCTCAACCCCTAACTAGGGATTTCAAATATTAGGAGCTTGGGTTCTGAGGAATCAACCCTTTTGACGCCTTCCAATCCCTCTTTCGATGCGTATCTGCACGAGAGGTCAACTTGATGCTGTTGCTACTATAATAAAACAGTTCCAGGAGGAGTTGTACTTCAGGTTCAATTCTGAAACCTATAAATATCCACTTTGTTTTTGTTGTTTCAATTTTGTATTGTTTTTTTATTGTTGTTCGCTTAAAGTACTGCAAATAACTTGCTTGTCTCAAAGCTAAAAGATTTAGTGGATAACTTCTAGCTAATCTCAACACTATAAGTCAATTGGGGAAAAGTTGTGTAGCTAGAATAAACTTGGATGAGGGTGACATTCAGGCCTTGGCAGAATTACTAGGCTATGAGGTAAAAACTTGGCCCCTAGAGTATCTAGGTATGCCCTTGTGGGGGAACCCAAAATCAAGAAGCTTTTGGAAACCAATTATAGAGAGATTTATAGAAAAGATAAAATGTGTAAGAGAAGCTATATCTCTTTGGGGGGAAGAATAACCTTGATAAGGTCCACCCTAGATAACCTACCCACTTATTTCCTCTCCATTTTCAGGATCCCGGTGAAAATAGCTAGACAGCTAGAAAAGATAATGAGGGATTTTTTGTGGGAGCCAGGAGAAGAAAGGAGAGACCATTTAGTGAAATGGGAACAAGTTTGTAAACCCAAGGAGCAAGGTGGACTAGGTATAGGAAATATTTTGAAGAAAAATACGACTCTTCTAGGGAAATGGCTGCGGAGATTCCCTCGCGAAGAAGATAGGTTATGGCACAAGGTCATTAAAAGCATTCATGGTGAATCAGACAATGGTTGGGATACAAAACTAGCCTCTCATGCAGCTCCTAATTCTCTTGAAAAGCAAACATTGAGGTATTGCCAGTGTTCCTTAACTTTTATCTGTTTTGATGTTGGGTGTGGGAATAAAGTGTTATTCTGAGAAGACTTATGGGTAGGGGAATTGTCCCTTAGGGACAAATTCCCTGAACTTTATTTCTTGTCAAACCATAAGGCTGAACCTATTTTTAGATTTGGTGTACTTTTAGACTTGGGCCTATCTTGGGACTTTGGTTTCAGAAGGGGTCTGAGGGATAATGAATGTGATTCCCTAATTCTCCTAGTTTCAACTCTAGAGAAGGTCTACTTGGACCAAAATTTTGTGGATAGTAGAAGCTGGTTCCCAAGATCTAATGGTTTATTTTCCTGTCGCTCGTTCTGTAGCCTGCTTACTCATTCTGAAACCTTGTGGGTGAACTTTTCCGTTAGAGAAATCTGGTATAAACCAATCCCTCCTAAAGTACAAGCCTTTTGTTAGGAAGTGTTCCTAGGGAAGGTAAATACCTGTGATGTGCTATAGGAAAGAAAGCCAAATAAGTGCCTCTCTCCTCATGTGTGTATCCTTCTTAAGGATTGTGGTGAGACCCTAACCCATTTTCTAATATCCTGCTCTTTTGTTTCTTGTATTTGGAAACACTTATGCTCTCTCTTTGGTTGCAGATGGACACCCCCACAGATGTAGTAAATCTTTTCAACTCTAATTTCCTGAGGCAACAGAAAAAAAAAAAGGGAAAATGTCTTTGGAAGGTAGTAGGAGCGGCTGTGGTGTGGACTATTTGGGAGGAAAGAAATCAAAGAATCTTCAATGAAAAAAAGCAAATCAAAGGAGGAAGTAATTGAAGCTATAAAAGTCAGATTTGCACATTAGGTTAAAACTATGGAACTCTACAGGAATGTCTCTATAAATGACATTATAAGGAACTGGACTGAAGTGATACAAACTGATGTACATGGTGTGAGAGTGGACTAGAAACCACCTGCACCAAATAAACTAAAACTGAACTTTGATGGGAGTTCTTTTGGCAACCCAGGAGAAGCAGGTATAGAGGGAGTGCTTAGAGATCATCAAGGAACAGTTGTGGCACGTTTCTCAGGACCAATAGGCCTTGATGACACAATTTAGGCTGAAACTGTCTCTCCTACAAGGCTTGAAACTGGCTGAGCAGATTGGAGCAACAGAACTGGAAGGTGAAGGAGATTCACTCCTGGTCATATCTTGGGCAAAGCAAATCACTTCCGTACCTTGGAAGCTCAGATTTGTCTTCAGAGAAATAGACCAACTTGCAAGAAGGTTTAATACTAGTTTTGGTTGGGTAAAGAGGGAAGCAAATGGACTTGCTGATGTCCTAGCCAAACAAGGAGCAGACAGACCTACTTTATTTTGGGCTAGATTGTAATCTGATGTGTACTCTCATCAGTAATTAATGATTTGATAACAGCTTATTTTCTGATAGAAAAAATAATGTGCTTGTCTAACCACATCATATCCATATTGTCCTGAGAACAAGAGGTTTCTAAACTGATGTAAGCCAGCCAAAATGATACCATGCTAAATTTCATGGTATTCTTTTTTTCTTTTTGTCTTATTGCTGCTGTGCTTGTAGCACCTATTCCTAATGCAACGAATAGTTATGCTCTAATTATGAGGTTTCTATGAGTTTTCTGTTCACTGATATTTGTTTATGTCTATCCATTGATATTCTTCCTTGTATTATTTTATTTAAATAAAGGTGGCTAATTGTAGCATTGCTGAAGGCATCTCCTTCTTGTGTTTCTTTTGTCATATTTCTCTTCCTTTCCATATTTTCTTTTTTTCTTATTTTGATGCGCTTACATCTAGTCATTGCTTTTATTAGATGTTCCTGAATCACTTTTTCCATTTTGCTATTGATCTTTCTGGTTAACAGAGCATGATTGGAAGAAAGATGTTGGAAAGCCAACTTCAAAAAATGGGAGTTTTCAGTGCTGGTGAAACTATTAGTTCACATCCAAATTTTGATGAAAGCTTTAAAGTTTGTGAGTATATTTTTCTTATTTATTGTCCAGTCCATGAATGGGAGTTCTTAGTGCTGGTGGATCCAGGTTTCACCTAGGTATATAGGAGAGTTGTGCCAACATTTTTCTCCACATTTTTTTATTCAGTGTGGGCTAATCATGGGGATGACATAAGCATTCAGTATTCAGGAACTCCTGCTTTGAAAGGAGATTTTGTTAGGTAACTCACCTATCCTTAGGATGCTCTTGTTTTTTAGTATCAACTTAATGTATTTTCTATTAAATGACTTCTGAATGTCATTGATGACTACCGGCTTAAGCAAAATGATTGAGTCTCATTGGGAAGTTCATTTAATTGTTAGATTTACACATCTGAGGTGCATTCTGGAATCTGATATTTTCCAGTCAAAATGCATAAACTTGAAATGCATGTTTGTTCTCTACTAACTTCAATATGTATTTAATGATAACTTTGCTGCATTTATTTCTTCTTTCATTCTTTTCTTATCTATTCTTTGTCTGGGGTGGGGGATTGATGTATTTTCTTTCTCATGGTTATTTCCAAGTTTAAGATCATGGCATGTTTACTTTCTGGTTTTCCAGATATGGCAACAGGACAATCCAAGGAATCGTGCAGGATTTGTGGAATGCCGGTGCTCGATATTACTTTAATAATTTCAGTGATGGCACAAAGCAGGTTTGTATGCTCATTTGTTCATTTTATTAATTTTAGGTTACAATCAGGGAACATCACAGAATGTTGAGAGATAGAGAAAAAAAAATGTAGAGAGACATAACTAATCTTTTTTTGACTATCAATTTACTTATAATTCAGTAAGTTCCATACTGTTAAGCAAGGTTCAAAATGTCGCACGTATTGGAATATATCATATCATATTGGTAGTGTCCCTATACACTAAATATTTAGTATTTTGTTTTTTTAATATTTTCAGGGGGTTGGCCTTGCTACGATCAGCCCCTGTAAAATTTCAAAAAATAAATAAATAAGGAGCGAGTGTTTCAAAACCCTAATACGCATGTTCATACATGTCTATAGGGGTGTATCAAGACTTTGAACCTTGACTGTTAATCAATACCCAACGTTAGAGATTTTGTGCATTTCTTGACTGTTCTTGTCATGTTTTTGATGTAAATCAATAGAGACTAAGGGACTGTTTGATAATGGATGAAGTGGCTGAACTGAATTGCTTATTGGCTATTGCTTTGTCATGTAGTGGATATAAAAATTAAATGATAAAAACATCTGAAGCTATAGTGATCAACCCAACTTCAGCTCAGCCATTAAGGATCTCACAACATCCTTAACAACTTATTCACTAAAAAAGACAAATCCATAAGTCATATTTGCCAATTTTTGCTGCAGTAGTGTGAAAAGCATTAAAAGTGAAAAATATGTGAAAACCTGAAGTGACTATATTGCAATTGTCATTCTATTTTTGTCCATATTCTCCTCCATCACATCCAACATGCTTCTTAACATGATCCATCATCTATATTGTCTTATTGTATTTACCTTTTTTGTTGCCCTCCCTTTTCTCTTCAACTTGCTATGCCTGCCTATAAATGTTAATCTTATTCAATCCTTCAATTTCCAGAAAAAGGAAAACCATTTGACTAGGTTCACTTTCTATGGTACAAACCTATTAAAATTTTGTCACTTTGTTCTTGGAAGCTAAACTCCTATTTGTTGCACTGCTATCAAATTATTTTTCCTCAAAAATGCCTATCAATATAAACAGGTTTTTCATGTCTCCTTAAAGAACCAATATCTGGAGTATATTTACTTGGGGTGGCAATGAGTCAGCTTCAGGTTGGTTTGATATTTACCTAATTATTTTATATCCAACTATAAGCCAACATAATTATTTATAGGGATGATGATGCCTAACTAAAACCTGATCTTGAGAAAAATAGGAATTAGGAAAGAACTCAAAACCTGTAACCTAATTAACACAAAAAATGAAAACCCTAAACTAGTGGGGAGGTGAGAGAATTGTTTAGATGTTGGGTATTGGGACTTACCAAGTATGGCTAACTGAACTCATCATGGTTATAAATAGGTCGTGGCCTTGTGGGTTTACAAGAATATTGATCATGTGGTCAAAAGTCAACTGAATTGAAAGCCTTCTGTTAGATTTTGCCACCCCAACTGTTAGAGAATGTTAAAAAGTTCCTTGTTGATCTATTGAAGAACCTTGGGAATATTAGCTTCTCCCCAGCGGGTGGAAGCCAATAGAGGTTTTGCATCCTTTTATCATGCATCTAAATCTAGGTATTTGGGCTTAGTGGTACAAATTGGGTAAGATATTTGAGGAATTTCCACTACTTAGGCCTGGTCCCCTTTAAAAGTTAACAAATGTTCAACCAGACCTGCCTAAGTCGTAACCCTAGTTGCTATGAATCTCAGCTTCACCAAATGATCTTCACTGTTCTCCCATAATTACCATAATGTAAGTAATTAACTTTGTGAAACAATATGATGCCCATGTGGTGGAGGTGGTGGTATTTTCCATGTTTTATAAAAACGAACCGGTGACCGAACCGGTCAGGGGTCCAGTTACCGGTTCGAACGGTCTGACCGTTCAACCCGAACGGCTGGCCCATTCTGACAAAAAAATAAAAAATTAAAAAATTGGAAAACAGTCAAAACCGTTTGAATGGTTAACCGGCCGGTTCAGCGATTTGCTGACCAAAATCAACGGTTTTAGGGGAAAAAGCGGTTTTGGAGGAAAACGGAACTGGTCAGGTCACCGGTTCCCGGTTTTTCCGGTCCGACCATCCGGTCCGGTCCGGTTTTGAAAACAATGGTATTTTCTTGTTAATGCTGCGAAGAAATTTGGAAAAGCATGGTTCAGAAAATTGTATGTATATATGCATATCTAATCGTAGCATGTGTAAATGATTATTCTTAGAATGACTTCTCAAAGAAGAATACATCTATTTGACAATTTAGTGAATTTTACAAAGTTTTATGTCATAGAAACAGCTCCTGTGAATCTAAAGGAATCTTGTTCCCCTATTTCTTATATGTTTCTATGGCAAGCAGCATTTCTTTGGAGATCATACTTAAGTTAAATGGCTATAAGCATGATGAGTTCAGATATCTAGATTCACATTCACAAGCCCAAACCACATTAATATCCAACCTATTGTCTGCAAACTTGTCTTGTTGCATATCATATGCATATGATATGCCTATTATATGAACTGGCTGATCTCTGGGTTCCTGCGGTGTTCAGTCTGGATGCAGGATCTATTCCTTCTAATATTTTGTTGAAGAGACTTGTTGCCCTCATTACCCTCTATAACCCATATAATAACCACCTAACAGTCCATCAATCCCCTATATGCCGATGTATGTAGTGAGCAAACTCCTGTTGAAATAGTTATTGGCTTTGTGGGAGAATTTTCGTTTATCCCATTGTGGATTATTTTCATTTTTTAATCTAATTGTTAAATAGATATTCGAGTGCTAACTTTATAATGTTGTTCTTGTGTGATATGTTACACAAATGTTCAAGGATGCTATTGATCTCCTTCATGGACACTATATTATTTCTGTCAGTCGAGATATGACTACTCCATCCCAGAAAGGAAATCTTGAGGCTATAGCTGTAAGTAGTCTCCTCCATGTAGTTAACATCTTTTCTAAATTTTAATTAGTTTGCCATAAAGATTGAAGTAAAATATGTTTATTCAGTCAATTCAAATGGAAACTTTGTTTCCTTATATTTCTCAAATTCTAGAATTCTCTTTTGTTTGCTAATGTCAAGAAACCGTTCAACCTTAAGCTGTTAAGCGAGGTTCCTGGATAGGTTTTTATTCTCTAGCATGCCCCCTCATGCAAAAGCCGGCTTGAAGGGTAGAAAAGCACAGGCCTACCCACAACTTGTGCTGAAATTTAATTAATTATATTGGGGGCAACGAGGATTGGGCACTAGACTACTTGGTCAAACAGGTTCTGATTCCATGTCAAGGAACCATTCAACCTAAAAGATTAAGCTGTTAGGTGAGGTACCTGAATAGGTTTTTATTCTCTAACAGCTAAAAGTAGGTAGTTTATTTAATAAGAAAAAGTGGTATAAGAAATTCAATTTTCTTGTTAAGTGAACAACAGAAACATGGTTCACATGAACATGTGCTTTGAGATGTCCCAAAAATTACAATTATTTTTCCAACATTCTAGCCGATAATGATGACACTAACCTTCACCATCCAAATATGACAGATTTGTGGTTACTTTTATTCAATGAAAACCTGCAGGACTCAATAACCAGTAAAAGAGAAAGCTGACATCTAGATGGTGGGCATGTACCCAGTAACCCTGTAACTTGGGAGAAAATCCAAGATAAAATGTGTGCTTCAAGTGGATCTCATTTAGTGGCAAGTAGGCTTCTCTTGTATTTCACTAGGCTTGAGAAACTTAGCAGTTTAGGTTTGTAATGTATGTCTCAAAGTTTTTTTTTTTTTTGAGATATTTGCTACTATTGGAAGACAAAAGGAAAATTTTTGTGGTGTTGAAAAGAACTCCCCTAATTTATTTAGGTTCTGATGAATACTTATCCAATGTTATATGTTCCCCATTGTTTTATTGTGGCTATATTAATTCTCTCTCTCTCTCTCTCTTGCAGTCCCCTTCAACAGCTTTGGCATTAGCCTTGGTTGGATTTTTCTTTGCTCTCATGTCACTGAGACAAGGTTAGTTGGCTTCTCTGTTTCTAAAAGTAATAGCTTGGTCAAGAGAATTTTTATAGGTTCACCTGGATGCTCTATATGAAACCAGCTACTTGTCATGATTGATGCATAAGATGGAAATAAACTATGTTGGTTTTAGCCTAGGTTTTGCAGGTTGATTGATGACTTAGTTTAGTGCTGGACGAATGTGCCTACAAGCCTAGAGGCACACTTCCAGGCAAGGCTTGAGGAACTTTGAGGTGCATATAAGTGCGTGCAACTTGTATAAAGCCTATGATTTATGCCCTTATACAAGAGGCATGCACCTCATTAGGTCCTATTTTAATGTTTCTTTTTTTTTGTTATAAATTGATATAAATGAAAGAAGAGCATCTTTAATCATGCTCCCTTTTACATGATATATCATAAATTAATGGGAAAAACCAAATTAGTAAAATTTAACATTTTCTAATTGTATCCATAAATCTATTTATTCATCTGTTGTTTATTGTAACATTGTAGTTGATTAGGCATTGCAATGTGCATTTTATATCATTATACTTCCATTTGTTTTCAGAATGGCTTGAAAAAATTATACTTTGGAATATGCTAAGAGGAAAAGAAGGAATACACTATTTTCTATTTATTTTACTTTATTTTATTCACTTATTAATTAAAAATTGGTGATTAGGAAGCTTACGCTTCTTACATTCTGATTCAAGCCCCATGTCACTTTACATCACACTTTAACATTTGAAAAGATTGCTTTTATCTATCTATCTATCTATCTATCCATCCATCCATATATATGTGATCATATATTCTACATTGACATTGTTTCTGGACAAATATATACTACCTCTGTTGGATGAACTACCAACCCTTGCTTGGTACAGCAGTAAGAAAAGTGAATAAAACAATCAGAATAAATGCTGGATCTTGTCCAAAAATACTAAAGAGAGGATAAATGTTGTGAAAGGTTGGAAAGGATACAATACTAAGGCTCTAGAGAAACCAGCATGAAAAAGTCTTTTTTGAGATAACTGTCCCAAAACTTCTTACATGAGAGAAAACTCATCTTTACATGTCAAAATCCTACTGACTACAAACAGATCCAAACCCTTTTTTGTTTCTTCTAATCTGATTTATCAAAATAATGCAAGTAACTTGGCTGGAAAGGAGTGCTCATAAACTCACATATGACATAACTACTTAAAACTAACATGATTTGACACATTTTTCATGAAAAACTTCACATAAAATTTCATGAGTTTATTTTAAACTGAGCTCCTAACAATCAAAATATTCCAGAAAACATAGCAAAGCCATAATTTATTGAAAATTGTACTTTTAACCTAGGGTTGCAAACAGATCGGATCGAATGGGATATAGATATATACAAATTTGATTTGTTTATATTCAAATTCGAATTGGATCTTATCTATGGGATTTATATTGTGTACAAACTGAATTCGGATTGCAATTGGATACTGAATAGTATAAATAAATTAAACTAAAAATGATTAAAATATTATATATTATTAATGAAATGAACTAAAAATGACTTTATATTGTATCTACTTAGCAAAAAGAATTGAAATTTACTTGTATGAAACTTGAATATATGACTATATATATATAATCAAATCATATAGAGGTGTCTCTATATTTGATCCAATCATAAACAGATCGAATTTAGATCACCCTTGATGGGATCAAATTCAAATTCAAAATTGGAAAATTGGATACCATTTACAGCCCTATTTTAACCAAATAGATGTTCTAATGAATAATAGTATTAATCCCTTTGGGTTTGAGAGAATTTGGCTCTAAATAGGAAAATTTGCACGTATTTATATAAATTTTGAATGAGTTGGCAGCTCCTCAGCAATCTAATTACTTCATCTTCTCCATCAAAGCCTTGAGAAGACAAATTAAAGACGAGACTTATTGAAAGCTATGAGATTAACCATCACATCTCAATCTTATTTGTATTCGTATTTCTTTTTTGCAGTTGGTTTTGATATTGGTAGTCTATTCTTCTCACTTGTCTGGGCGGGATTGACTGTGTGTATATTAGCATTTTTGCGAGCCAATGGTCGGATCTTTTGTAACCGCCCTCGTTTGCACAAGCCACGGTGTTAATGAATGAGAATGACTAGTGAACCTTTTGGGCTTTCTTGTTTGTGATAAATCTTGCCTTATTTAAATTTTTTTGCATTTTTATTACATTTATTCTCTAAATGGTATTTGTAATCCCATTTAATCGACATGTTGGCTACTTGTAAGTTTGGGGATAGCTCATTCACGGTCACATTGATTTGGGATTACCAATTTTAATTGTATTGAAATAAAGCAGCTTATTGTGCCTTGGTTTTGGTTTTGCATTGTACACACATATTTGTATATGCACTCTTCACAAACTAAGCCTTGAGGAAAAATCTAATTGCATCCAACAGGGATTTCCTAACATGGCATGTGTAAGTTCATAATTCGGATTAGCTGAACGCGATGGCTGTTCAACTGGCTGTGGAATCAATGATAATATTCCATGCCAGTAATAAATTCATGGGCCCCATTGTATGGTGCAGGCCCGTGGAATATTATCATTGGTTCCACAGCCTGCATAACAGCCATTGCATTCAGCTAATCCTTCCTCGTTAGTTCACACTTTACAGACTCCTTGTAAACAGTATCATCTGTGTTGGGTGAATTAATGTTATGCAGGCTGAACCATTGAGTCACACTCCCTACTATCAATCTCGAATGTGGACAGCCAAAGTTTTCTTATCAATCAACTTGTTTTTACTTTACCATTGCCCTCGTAGTAGAATTGCCAGAATATCTAGATCTCTATGTATATAAAATGTTGGGACTCACTAGTATTATAATTCTAGGAGACTTAAAAAACAATTCATTTGACCTAGTTTTGACCGAATTGGGATATTCTGCCAACAAAACATGTTTCAACTCTCTACCAACATGATCTCACACTACATATCCCATACATGGGGGTCCCACTTTTATGGCGGGTCCTAGTCTCATGGTGAGATGTGTGGTATTAGATCAAGTTGGTAGAGGGTTGGAATGTATTTTGTTGGTAGGTGATCTGAACTCACCATGGCCATCCTTTTACAAGTAGGAGTATGTAGGACCCATTGGCCCAACTGAGTCTGTTCTTTTACCCGGCCTACGTTAAAACTACCTGCCTACTTCACGCTAAACAAAAACAAATGAGTCTGGCCAGCTCGGTTACTTTTCCCTCAGTTAAAATTCCCTAAGGCTGTGTTTGGTTGCAATGCAAATAAATTTGAACTGATGCAAAACCATGGCAGTGCAAATGATTTGAGTGTAAATTCTAACCTATTTTTGTTTCAAATTTTAGCTTATTTTGTTTGATTGCAGTACAAATGAAGTAAATTAATACATGAAGTAGAATAAACTAAAATCCAAAACAAAATTAAACAAGAATTTGCATTTTTTTACTTTTGCACTTCCATGCATTTGTACTAGTACAAATAAATTTGCACTCCAAACACAGCCTAAAGCTTCTTTTGTTTGCACTACTACGATTTTGTTTTCACTAATACAAATGCATGCATGGGAATGCATATGATCAGAAGAGTGCAAAATATCCGATTCAACCTTATTTTGTTTCAGGATCTATTTTATTTGAAACAAAAATAAGGTAAAAACTAAAATAAAATTAAACCAGAATTTGTGCAGGTGCAAATGAAATTGCATTGCAAACAAACCAGGTTTAAAGAAATTAAGACCAAAAAAGTCCCTTTTAAAGAATACAAATACAAATATGTACAGTATAAATACATACAAAATTCAAGGTTTTGCACTCTACAAATTTTTATTTGTAATCCTCGGCTAAATTGGGATGAATGCAAATACAAATATGTACAGTACAAATACAAGGTTTGTAAATACCATATGTAAGGTTTTGCACCGAACATATTTGCATTTGCACTTTTTCCAAATGGATCCTAAAGAGGTAACCTTGCTTGGTTCGTTAGGGAAATTTTGATATAATGGTGAAGGATTTAATTGTATTATAAATTGTGCAATATGTCAGCCTTTGTTTTTTAGTTCAAGTAGCATGTTCATCTCACCATAGGTAAAGATTTTGATGCACTTGATTCACATAACCTATGAATTGATGCACTTAATTTAATATTTTTAATTCAGTTTTAAATTTTTTATTTATAAAAAATGTTAAAATTATGATTAAGGCCAAAAAAGGTTTTTTGGGAAAATAGCGAGGAAAGGTATCAAAGATGCATAGATCTTAAGAAGTTGCTCACAAGAAAAAACCCTAATTGGACATTTGAGTGCAAAGTTATGGCTTTAGAAATTTTCACATACATTGAGTGTGCAACCCATGACTTGGTGATTAAGTCGAACAAGTCTACGATTTAACCATACAGGTAGTATAGTTTTTTTTCCACCAAATACCAGGCTTGTTGACGTTATGTGTTTTGGTGATAACAAATCCATTGAGAGTATAATGTTATAATTAAGTGTGTAACAAATCCTTAATAAGCTTCTCTGTGCCAAAAAATGTATTAAAACTAGAATGCTACCAAAGATGAATTGAAAGTTTTATTGAGTTGGATACCTATGCTTCAAATATCTCTACTCCATCATCATATTTCCAAGCTGAGGAAGTTCCAAGCAATTCAAGCATCAAGGCTGCTAAAGAACTTAAATGTTTTTGGAACTGCTCAAAGGACATTTGTTACAACATCTCACCAAAGAGAAGACTACATTATTAAGTTGTTGAAAGCTAATGGAATAATTTTCAAACCTTTGGATAAGAGTATCCAAGGTTTCTAAGTATTGTGCTAATTGTTAGGAAACATTAGCCTGACCGTGAGACATAGTTGACTACCCTAGACAACATAGTCAATTAATTGTGACAGTTAAGGCATGAAATGTTGGGATTGTGAAGTATAGTCGGCTATCCCAGAAGGCATAGTTGACTAATTATGACAGTCGGGGCATGATATATATGCCATGATTGAGAAGACTATTCGACTAACTTGGATAAACTGATTTCAAGTGATACTAGTCAATTGATATGGAGGAACCAATTGACTAGGAGAGAAAAAAAATTCCTCCCTTCATCAAGTAGCCAACGAGAAAAATTGACAATCGACTACTTTGAAGAAATTTGACCATTTGAAGGACCTAATAATTATTGCCATCTATGTAAAGCCTTCAAACACGTTAGGGGAAACTTGAATCATTTGCAAAGAAGAAAAAGTCCCTCTAATGGCTAGAAAACGGCCACTTAATCTTAAATCCTCTATAAATAAAATAGTTTTACTTGATTCAAAACAAGAAGCAAGAGGTTGAATAAAGGCTTGTGAAAAACAACATGTGCATTCCTTGTACATATTGTGTATAATTGTCTTCAAAGACAACAAGCAAGCTAGAGTCATTTTGTTGAATAGATCCTTGAGCTTTAATAGTGTTAGAAGGTGAGCAAAGCTGAGAAGCCATTGAGCTTGTACAATTTCACCCATCCATTGAGAGTCTTTTCACTAAGTTGAACATCTATTAAGAACTCTAGCAATTGAGAAAGTTTGTGCTTGTATTGTTATATTTTCCTATTGAGAGACTTATCTTGCTTGTAGATTGTTCCTATGCTAAATAAAGTAGTATCTTTGAGTAGGTAGGTTGTTGAATACCATCAAAGTCTTGTTGGCACTGCTATTAAGCCCAACTACAAGGTTTTGTAAGCAGCCAGAAGCCCTACTGGTTCAGGTTGGGTTGGCATTCTTGAAGTCCAACCGGTTTCAAGTATTATAGCACACCTATAAAGTTCTACTAGTTATAAAGGCTTGGCTGGTGCTAGGAAGTCCAATCGGTTAGCGGAAACCCTCAGTGGTGGTTTGAGGTAGAGGACAAACAGGGTTGGTTGAACCTCTATAAATAATCTTGTGTGCCTTGTGTGTGTTTGTTCCTTCTACTCAAGTTTTGTAATTTCCTTTTATTTGCTAACATTCTCAGTTAATTTAAATAACTTGATTCCTTGAGATCTTATAGATATTTTGTTGCTTTGTATTTCATTGTTTCCATCTACAAGATACAACATACAAGGCCACTTAGTGAAGTTATGACTTACTAACCTCACTAGCTTTACTAACTACACTAAGTTAGTTTAGCATTTTGGGTTTATCTTCTAACTTCTTTCAACTGCTAATTCTAACTACTCAGAATTTACACTTATAGTTGTTTTTATTTATTATTCAATTGTATTTATATTTCTATAGCTAGATCTATCATTGATATTCCGGTATCAGCTAACAATTGTTTGAATCTCAAGTTGATTGTACTTGGATAGTTGGTCCTCATCTCAACTATCATATTCTAGTAGGTCCTTTTCTCTACTACCTCTAATGGTTGGTCCTCTCTCTCCAGCTGCTATTTAGGCAAACACCACCAGGTGCAACTATCATTTATTTTATTGTCTATTTACTTTTAGTTGCATCATTTAATTTCTACATTTATTTATATTCTATATTATTATTTATTTATTTAACTATAGAACCACTAATCAGATAGCAAGTTGCAGATAGCCTCTCCACGAAGCTAGAGTTATGGCCTTTTCGATCAAATTCATTGTTGGTTCAAGAATTCTCCATTCTCTTAAGAACTTTTTGTAGGTAGATTTTTTTTTTGTGTTTTTTTTTTGAATTTTGATTGTTTGTATTTGGCATTTCTACAAATTTGTTCCTTTACGCCATGTAGTGTTTACACCAATACCACCCTCCATCCAACTACGACAACTGAAATGGCCACCACCAGCTCCCCGTCACCCTCACAACGGTACCATTGGTGGCAGTAGTGGGAAGCGAGTGAGTCGCTGACTGTCGACAGTATCCCTGACTGACCATGGAGAGGGGATAGGGATTGGATGATACCCAGGTTCTAAGCTCATTGATGGCATCCTTGAGCCGGGAGATGAGGGGGTGGTGTGATCTATAGGGGAAAACTGGTGGATCTAATGTGGTAGGATTTCTCCTGTGGCGATGGCCGGCTAGGATTGGGAGCTGAGAAGGAAAGAGTACGACGGAATCTGCTCACCATGTGTTCCTTCTTCTTCTTCTTCTTCTTCTTCTTCTTCTTCTTCTTGTGATGATGGATGCGTATTTTTCTTCTGAGTTGCATTTGTTTGGCCCATCGGGGAGTTTATAAAGGAAGAGGGGAGAGAGAGTGAGGAGAAACGAGACGATGAATAGGCAGCATTGCCGGTCTGATTTTATCGAATGGTTGATAAAGAAAATTAGATAACACTTGAAGGGCATTTTTGTCTTTTTGCATGTCACTTAACGGCTGATTAACGTCGGGTACTAGATTGTCACAAAATAAAAGTTT